TGATCGCCATGATTCCGACAATTAGAGCAGGTTTGGGGGCTCCCGCTGGCTTTAGTGTCAAAGTGGTCTTCTCAGAGCAGGTGCTCCCTGCAGCTGACCCTCCTCCTCTCATGGCATTGGACACAGCAGGCCTCCCGCCTCACAGCACACTCCTCCTCTTGGTTCCAGGACCTGCTGCCCTACTGGTTTTGCTCCACCCCACAGGCAGCTTTGCTAGGTCACCCTTGTCTTGGTGACCTCTGGCCTCTGGCATGGCCGGGGCCCTTCCTCCGAGCCCTTCTGTTTTCTTCCTGTGCTCCTGCGATGAAGGCTCTGCTCTGCAGGCCCATTCCCCCTCAACAGAATCTGCTGCTCAGACCCCTCCCCAAGCTCCAGACCATGCTCCACAGCCCTGTATGGGGCCTGAGGGCACTGCCACCTCATGCATCCAGAGCACTGCTCCTCGTCCCCAAGCCCTCTGAGTCCCAGCAAATGTGCTCCCGATGCTCAGGCCCAAACCCTGGAGTTGTGTTTGCTCTTTTCTCTCCCACCCACCCCTCAGTGAGCCTGTCCAGGATCCAGCCCTTTCCCTGGGGCTTCCTGGGCATCCAGGGCTCAGGGTTCCATCAGTGTCTCCTGGAATAAGGGTGTCTGTTGCCATGCCCTGGCTTCCATCTTTTTTTTTTTTTTTTTTTTGCAACAGAGTCTCACTCTGTTGCCCAGGCTGGAGTGTAGTGGCAAAATCTCAGCTCACTGCAACCTCTGCCTCCCGGGTTCAAGCCACAGCTAGGATTACAGGCATGTTCCACCATGCCCGGCTAATTTTTGTGTTTTTTTTCAGTAGAGATGAGTTTCATCATATTGGTCAGGCTAGTCTCAAACTCCTGACCTGGTAATCTGCCCACCTCAGCCTCCCAAAGTGCTGGGATTACAGGTGTGAACCACCATGCCTGGCCCCTGGCTTGTCTCTATGCTGTCTGTCCTGCCAAAGCATCACCCTTGCCGGGGCCTGGGGAGGGGGAGGGAAACTGAGTGTCTCCAGTAGCTGGGGAGCCTGGCATGCAGTGCATGCTTGTGGAAGGAATGACAGGTTAAATGCACATGAGGACCTGGAAGATAAATCAGAAGTGGCCAGAGTGTGAGGTAGGCAAGGCCACATTATCGCTCCCATTTTACAGAGGAGGAAACTGAGGCCTGACAGGCATCCTGAGCTGCTGATGGCAGCATCCCTGGTGTTCAGACCTGGATCTCAGCCCATGCCTGGTAACACCCTGCCCCACCACTGTCTACTAGGGAGAGAGGCTTGGGCCACAGAGAACTGGGCACTGTGGGAGAAGCCACATCAGTGATTCATCTGAAAACCAGAGTTGAAAGGGCAAATGCTGGCCCCAAGGACAGAGCACTCAGTGGGCAGGATGGGCAGGGGTGGGCAGGGAGCAGAGCAGCCCTGCCCCCATAGTGCAACAGCATCCATCTGAGTTTTCAAAAAGGCTCCCTCCCTGTTCCACAGGACCCCTTGCCCCGGCCCAGCCTCCCCAGCACCCCTAGGAGGCCTCTTTCCTGAGATCCTGCCTCCTCCCCTTGCCAGCCCCAACCTGCAGTCTACCCCACACCTGTGGCAGCAGAGGGAGGCTTATACAATGCAACTGCTGCCACTTCCCTGCGCTGCTGCCCCCACTGCCCTCCAGGTTGACACTGTGGCATTTGACCTCCCATGGCCCCACTTGCACTGGCCTGCAGCTCATCTCCTTTCCGTCTGACTGTCCATCCCTCTGTGCATCCCTAATACATCGAGACACTCCTGCCCCCAAGCTGTTCGCCATGCCTCAGACATCTTCTCAGACTCGGAGAGCTTAGAAATCCCTCCTGTGTTTTCAGAAGACAGTGCAAGATGCCCCTGAGACTGCTGCAGTCCCCTGCAGACCTGGGGCTCCTTCCTGGGGCCCTGCAGTGGCACTCACCTCTCTGGCAGCCCCAGCAGTCTCACTGAGTCCAGGCCTGGGTCTCTCTCACCATGGGGTCCTCCCTGCCTAGCCCAGGCCCAGGACCAGGGAGGGACACTGACAGCTGAGCTCCAGGGACCCTGCTTTCCAGCCCTGGCAGGGCCAAAGAGCTGAGTCCAGGTCAGCCTTGCAGGAGACCCACTGCCCGTGAGTTCACATCCTTAACCCTGGCGGTGTCCAAGCCAGCTGGCTCAGTGAGGACACAGACACCAGGTCCCCAGCTTCCCAACAAGAGGAGGCACCGAGGTACCCTGGGGTGGAGCACAGCCTCTGACTATGACAATGCCCTCAAGAAGCAGGTGGTGCAGGGGAGGGGACCCTGGATTTGAGGACACACATCTGCGTTTGATCCAAGGACAGCTCTTTACCAGATGGACAAGCCTCAGTTTCCCCCCTCTGTTTTGTTTTGTTTTGTTCTGTTTTGTTTTGTTTCTGAGAGTCTCACTCCTTTTGTCCAGGCTGGAGTGCAATGTCACAATCTCACCTCACTGCAACCTCTGCCTCCCAGGTTCAAGTGATTCTCCTGTCTCAGCCTCCCAAGTAGCTGAGACTACAGATGCCAGCTACCATACCCAGCTAATTTTTGTAATTTTAGTAGAGACGAGGTTTTGCTATGCTGGCCAGGCTGGTCTTGAACTCCTGACCTCAAGTGATCCACCTGCCTTGGCCTCTCAAAGTGCTAGGATTACAGGTGTGAGCCACTGTACCTGGCCCCCTCTCTGTTAAATGAACAATTCCATGCCCACCTCCTCAGGCTGTTTTGAGAATTAAATGAAAATAAGGACAAGTCCCAGCAGACTTTGTAAACTATCAAGTGCTACACAGACGCCAGCACTTCTCTGAGTCTGTGAGGCTTACAAGTTCTAACAAAGCAGAGGAGTGGAAACTCCAGCTCTTGTCTCGTCGGTATCTTGGTGAAACACAGACCTGGATCCAAATCTTGCCTCTGCCACTTCCTGGCTTCGTGGCCTCGGCAAGTCACCTGCCCTCTCTGAGCCTCCTCTCCATCAGGTACAGATGCGAGATGATGGAAAGACTCGCCTGCAGCTTTGTGAGGCCCATGAGAGAAGGCAGGTCTGGTGTTTGGAGTCCTACCTGGCTCCATGCTCTGAGCCATTATGTGCTGTGACTGGGGGTGGCACCGGCTTCTGCCTGAGAGTGAAGTAGCTCTCAACAGCTAATCCTGCAGTAAATGGGTGGGGTTTGGCAGGGGGCCAGGGTTTTTAATTAGCTCCTGCCCTGAGATGAGGCAGTTGTGGCTCCACTGTCAGCAGTGACAGTGTAGTGCCTGCAATGAGCTGGGACGTCCAGGCCACCTCCCTCTGCCTCCAGAGGGCTGCCTGCACTGCCTCCTGACCTGCCTAGGCTTCACCTTCCCAGCAGGCCAGGCCCAGCCTCCACCGTGACCATTAGCACTCCAGGCAGTAGCCAGAGGGGTCTTTCTCCAGTGCAGCTGTGACCAGGCTCCCACTTCCAGCCCTCAGTTATCTCCTGTGCTCTTCACGAAGCCTGCACGGCCACTCTGGCCCCTCCCGGGCAGGCTCTCCTATCTGGCCATACTGACCTTCTCTCTTTTTCTTTTTTTTTTTTTTGAGATGGGATCTCATCACCAGGCTGGAGTACAGTGGCATGATCTTGGCTCACTGCAACCTCTGCCTCCTCGTTCAAGTGATTCTCCTGCCTCAGCCTCCCAAGTAGCTGGGATTACAGGTACCCGCCACCACGCCTGGCTAATTTTTGTAGTTTTAGTAGAGAGGGGGTTTTGCCATGTTGACCAGGTTGGTCTTGAACTTCTGACCTCATGATCTGCCCACCTCAGCCTCCCAAAGTGCTGGGATTACAGGTGTGAGCCACCATGCCCAGCCTACGTTGACCTTCTCTAAGTGCCTCAGGACCACCAGGCCTTGGCACCTGCTGTTCCCTCTACCTGGGGCTCCCTCCTCCCTCTCTTGCTAAATGAACTTGCCCTCAGGATTTCACCTTCAATATTGCTTCTGCCCAGTGGGGCACTGGTTTCCTCCTCATGTGCCAGAGGCTCCATGACCCACACCACATACCATGTTTTGGCAAAACTGCGGGTTCACCCTCTATCTCTTCACTGGTCCCTAAACTTCAGGAGTCTAGGGACGGTGCCCGCTTCCTCACACTGCCTGGTTCACCGGTGCTATCAAGTGTGTGTTGGTTGACAAGGACGTCCTAAGCGCCACCTCCTTAGCACCAGGCACCTATTTCCTGTGTTCCCCTTGAATTTTAGCAACAATCTCACAAAGGAGGGTTATTGCTGAGGAAACCAAGACCCACCACCAGGCATGGTGGCTCACGCCTGTAATCCCAGCACTTTAGGAGGCTAAGGTAAGCAGATCACCTGAGGTCAGGAGTTAAAGACCAGCCTGGCCAATATCGTGAAACACTGTCTCTACTAAAAATACAAAATTAGCCAGCCGTGTTGGCACACACCTGCAGTCCCAGCTACTTGGGAAGCTGAGGCAGGAAAATCGCTTGAACCTAGCAGGTGGAGGTTGCAGTGAGCCAAGATTGGGCCCTGGGCAAAGAGTGAAATTCCTTCTCAAAAATAAAAATAGAAAAAAGAAACCAGGGCCCAGAGAGGGGAACTGGCTTGCTCGAGGCCAGAGCCAGTGAGTGACAGCATGGCAGGACTGGACACCAGGCCTGGCTGGCACCACTAAAGGCCCACCCACAACAGCTGGCTTGGTTTCTGGGCCCTGCCCCACTGGCACCGGGTCCAGCAGCTTGCATCCCTACAAGCCAGGTGCTCTGTGCACAGACCACACCTCGTGTGGGCCTTTTCCATTTCCTGTGTCTCCAGGTGCATGAGTGGCTTGATGCAGGTCTTGGAGGCATTCACCATGTTTCACTGGAGAGGGTGAGTGGGAGGGACGGAGCAATAAATCTCTGTGTGGCCTCATGACAATCTGCCATCCTTTCCTCTGATGAGGTCTACATGGGGAGGAAGATGGGAGCCACTCATCCCTGGCTCTGACTCCTTTCTCTCTACAGAGGCAGATGCAGGCTCCACGGAAGGATCATCCCACCAGGAAGTGCCCAGCTCCAAGATCTGCCAGCAGCCCCAAACAGCCTCCTGCAGAATACGTCTACACAGTGAGTCCCGGCGCCCAGGCTCCCTCCACTGCTCTTTCTTTCTCTCTTTCTTTCTTTCTTTCTTTCTTTCTTTCTTTCTTTCTTTCTTTCTTTCTTTCTTTCTTTCTTTATGTTTCTTTCTTTCAGACAGATTCTTGCTCTGTCACCCAGGCTGGATTGCAGTGGTACGATCTCGGCTCACTGCAACCTCTGGCTCCCAGGTTCGAGCGATTCTCTTGCTTCAGCCTCCTGAGTATCTGGGATTGCAGGCGCACGCCACCATGCGTGGGTAATTTTGTACTTTTAGTAGAGACGAGGGTTCACCATGTTGGTCAGGCTGGTCTTGAACTCCTGACCGCATGATCAGCCCACCTCTGCCTCCCAAAGTGCTGGGACTACAGGCATGAGCCACTGTGCCTAGCCCCCTTCTTCAGTCTTATACCAGCTGTGTGACTTCTCCTAGCCTCAAGTCCCTCATCTGTAAAATAGAAACAATTCCCACCTTGTGGAATGTCTGTGAAGCTGAAAAGAGATGACATGTGCAGGCCCCCTGAAAAGCATACAAATGCCAGGTTCCCCCCATGCCCTGCTCCCCTCCTTGACATGGCCCCTCACTCTGGAACAAGTAAGGGCACAAGTTGGTGAGGGTGAAGAAAGCTCCTTCATCTGACCAAACAACTCTCCCCACTTCCTCCTGTTTTTATTGCACAAACAACACAAATCACAAAAAGAGGAAGAGGTCAGATGCCATCCCACACCATTAATACATCAGTGATTTTTAACTATTTGCTCTCTCCCCTCCTGGCACACGCAGACATGGTCGCCATCACAGCGGCGACATGGGTTGGGACCCTGTTTGCTCCACTCCCTGCTGTGTCCTAGGCATTCTCTGAAACGATCTTCCTGGAGATATGGGTGTGGCTGTGGCATAGGGGATGAGGAGGCCAGGCTGCCGTGCCGGTCAGCACGTGGCCCTCGGCCCAGTAGCTGGGGCTCAGGAGGGCAGGGAATACTCTTCTTGCTATGCTCCTTTCAGCTCCATGAGCAACATATGCTCCAAGCAGAGCAAGTGAAGAACAAATGCCACCCAGTGCCAGCTGGGGTCCCCATCCCATGAGATCTGGCACTGCCAGGTGGGCTCTCCACTCCATGCCCGGGAGGCACAGAGCCCTTCTGGGGCCCTGTGGTTTCTGCAGGTACATGATCCCTGGCTGCGTGGGCACTTGGGTTCTCCTCACACGTGCTGCAGTTTCTGTCCCCACAACATCAACTCACTCTAACTACACTACCAAACTCCACACAGAGGACGCATTGTCTGCTGAGAATGGGCGGGTAGCATCGAGGCCAAGGAAACCTCCCTGTGGGGAAGTGCCAACAGTTAGTTCCAAAGTGGAAAACGACATTTCTCAGAGGGCTCTCAGCCTCTCTGCCCTGGGGAATTTCCATCAGCCACGGCTTCGCACGTGGCCAGAGCCTTCCTCATATTCTCTCCTGTCTCCCAGCATCTCGTGGTGGTATTTTCCCTACCAGGGATTCTGGTGTCAACTGTTAGATGAAATATTTTCTCTCTCTCTCCCTCTCACTCTCACTTTTCCTCTCCCCAGCGTACACATATGTGAAATATATATATATATGTATTATATATATATATTATAACTAGCATCCTAATCCCATCTTCTTCCAGGATAAATGCTAGTAACATTGATTAATATATTTTTCAATATTTTTTCTATAAATATATACAAAGAAACCCATACACACTCACACATCCTTCTTTTTTAATTGAAGTAATAGAGCAATTTTTTCATGAACATCCTTCCACACGAATAAATATCCTTCTATGGGATTATTTTTAATAGAAGAGCTCTTTTGAAAAGTAGAGCTCCCTTTCTTCCTGGGTTTAGAAGCTGCTAGGACTCAGCCTGACTTCTCTGAAGAGAGCTACCTGCTTGCAGGGTTGCGAGGCAGCTTGGAGAGGAGCAATCATAGGACTTTGCTGAGCCTTTGACACAAGGGTCTACCCACTGGGATTGGACCTGGGCAGAGGACAATGGCACTCACAGAGACGATGATATCAAGTGCCATTTGTTGTGTACCTACTATGTGCCAGGCATCATGGCAGGACTTTGCACCTGCTATATTTTATCAACCCTCTTAATAAAACTTTGGGGTATAGGTGTTGTCCCCATTTTCACTTTCTTTTCTTTCTTTCTTTTTTTTTGAGATGGTGTTCCCCTCTTGTTACCCAGGCTGCAGTGCAATGGCGCGATCTCGGCTCACCGCAACCTCCACCTCCTGGGTTCAAGCAATTCTCCTCCCTCAGCCTCCTGAGTAGCTGGGACTACAGGTGTGCACCACCATGCCCAGCTAATTTTTGTATTTTTAGTAGAGACGGGGTTTCACCTTGTTGACCAAAATGGTCCTGCTCTCTTGACCTCGTGATCCACCCGCCTCAGCCTCCCACCAAAGTGCTGGGATTACAGGCATGCGCCACCATGCACAGCTAATTTTTTATTTTTGGTAGAGATGGGGTTTCTCCATGTTGGTCAGGCTGGTCTTGAATTCCAAACCTCACGTGATCCACCCACCTCGGCCTCCCAAAGTGCTGGGATTACAGGTGTGAGCCACCGTGCTGGCTTCACTTTATTTTTTAATCATCTATTGCTACTACTTCAATTTATTTTTTTAAAATGTGACCTATTCTTTGGGAGGCCAAGGTGGGCAAATCACCTGAGGTCAAGAGTTTGAGACTAGCTTGGCCAACATGATGAAACCCCATCTCTACTAAAAATACAAAAATTAGCTGGGTTTGGTGGTTCATGCCTATAGTCTCAGCTACTTGGAGGCTGAGGCAGGAGAATCACTTGAACCCAGGAGGCAGAAGTTGCAGTGAGCTGAGATCATGCCACTGCACTCCAGCCTGGGTGACAGAGACTTTGTCTCAAAATGAATAAGTAAATTAAATAATAAACTTAGAAATAAAAGAGCAAACTTGATTAAAAGCATGAATTTGGGGTGAGTCAGAGAGACCCAGCAAAACCCGCATCCAAGGCTTGTTCTTTTGCTCACTGGTTCTGCTACTTAAACTTCCTGAGTCTTCATTCCATGATCTACAGTATAGGGTTAACAGTGCAATCCTGGTTTACAGCTTACAAACATGCCGTGACTTCTTCCGGCTGAAATTCCTTGAGCCCGCCTCTCCCTCGGGCTCCCTGCCCTTTCTCCACAGCACCTTAGAACAGAGTTGCTGGTGGCTCAAGCCTGTAATCCTAGCACTCTGGGAGTCTGAGGCGGGTGGATCATGAGGTCAGGAGTTCAAGACCAGCCTGGCCAATATGGTGAAACCCTGTCTCTACTAAAAATATAAAAAATTAGCCAGGCGTGGTGGCACATGCCTGTAGTTCCAGCTACTCGGGAGGCTGAGGCGGGAGAATCACTTTAACCCAGAGGTGGAGGAGTTGCTCCACTGTTGTCAGGTCCCTCTCACCTTCAGCCCCTCTCCTCTCCTTTCTGTTCTTCTTTGTTTGCTTGCAGCCCTCCTCTTTGCCAGAACCTTCCTTCTCAGTCCTCACTGATTCCACATCGTTAAACCTATGGGCAGTTCTCGTCCCTCACCTCCCTTGATGAATCAGCAGCATCTGACACCCTTGAGCTCTCCCTCCTCCTCAACACACTTTCTTCACTTGCTTCCAGAACATTCTACCCTCTCCTGATCTTCCCCTGCCTTGCTGCCATGCCTCCTTAGTCCCTTTCGCTGGTTCCTTCTCCAGAACCAATGGAAACCTGACCTGCAAAGATTGAAGTAAATGTTGGAACTCATCCTTCGACCCCTCTTCTCCCATCTTCACTCCCTCCACTGAGTGACCTCATTTGGCCCCAAGGTTCTGAAGACCATTTACATCCTGACAACTTGCAACTCTATATTTCCAGCCCAGACATCTCTGAACACAGGAGTCAACCCCATTTGAAGAATGTCTAAATGGTGTCTCTCTCAAACCAAACTCCAATTTTTCTTTTCTTTTTTTTTTTTTTGAGACAGTCTTGCTCTTGTAACCCAGCCTGGAGTGCAGTAGCAAGATCTTGGCTCACTGCAACTTCCACCTCCCAGGTTCAAGCGATTCTCTTGCCTCAGCCTCCTGAGTAGCTGGGATTATAGGTGTGCACTGCCACACCCGGCTAATTTTTGTAGAGATGGGGTTTCGACATGTTGACCAGGCTGGTCTCGAACTCCTGATCTCAAATGATCCACCCACCTCAGCTTCCCAAAGTGCTGGGATTACAGGCATGAGCCACTGTGCCTGGTCTCAAATTCCAATTCTTTGCCCCTCTGTGTGCCTCTTCCCCCCATCTCCTCATCACTGCTTTATTCTTCCCATTGCTCACTGGAAATGTTGAAGTTGTTCTCTCCATCTGTCTTTCAATCACTGCCCATATCTGATCCATCAGAAAATCTTGCTTCAAGACGTATCCAGAATCCAACTCTTCTTACTGCCCCAGCGCTAACAGTGGTGGGAGCCAGTCCCATTTCTTGCCTGGAGTCCTGCAGTTGGTCTCTAAGCAGCTGGTCTATTTTTATCCTCTCCTCTCCCCATGTCCCCTACCCCACCCCCACCCCTGTTTGTTTTCCACCTGGCAGCAGTCAGTGATCCTGCTAAGCCATAAACAGATCATGGCTCTCTGAGACAGAGACACCAAGATGGGGTTAGATGAGCAAGGGTTTTTTTTTGTTGTTTTTTTTTTTTTGAGACAGAGTCTCACTCTGTTACCAGGCTGCAGTGCAGTGGCTTGATCTCCGCTCACTGCAACCTTCACCACCCGGGTTCAAGCAATTCTCCTGCCTCAACCTCCCTGGTAGCTGGGACTATAGGTGCTGCCACCATGTCCAGCTAATTTTTACATTTTTTGTAGAGATGGGGTTTTACTATGTTGGCCAGGCTGGTCTCAATCTCTTGACCTTGTGATCCACCTGCCTTGGCCTCCCAGAGTGCTGGGATTTCAGGCATGAGCCACAGTGCCCAGCCTGCTCCCTTATTCATTCAGCTCTCTGCTTGCATGGGACCTTTCAGTGCAGCCTTTTCCTGACTTTTCTTTCAAAATTGCAGCCTCCCTCCTCTCCTGTCACATCCCAGCCTCCCTGTCTTCCTTCTCTGAGTGCCTCCAGTGTCCTCATGGGCACCATTTACTGAGATGATTGTCAGTCTGGAGCTTCCTCCTCGTCCCACACCAGCCTGGCACCCAGCACACAGTAGGTGCTCAAGGATCACCTGCTCTATGATGGGCAGAAGCCTGTTCTTACCTCCCAGGGTATCTGGGGTTCCACGGGGCCTGGCACAGGGAAGGGGGACACCCAGTAGCAAATGTGAGGTGTCAGGATGTGGTCTGCATCCTCCTTCAGCAGCAGTACTCAGAGCCCCCACCCGCCCAGTGGCTCTGTCCCAGACCTGCCCGGCCCTGTGTCCTCCATCTTGCTCTCAGCCTCTAGTCCCTGCTCCCTCTCCTGCTCTGAGCTGTAGCCAGAGGGATCTTTTTAACACACAGCTCTGGTGCCTGGTGAGGAAGGCCTCCAGGGGCTCCCCATTGCCAGTGCCTGGTCTAGAGTTGAATTGCTTCTCCAAGGAGTGTACTCCTTCCCGAAAAACACCCCTGAATCTCACCCATCACCCCCAATGTCCAAGACCCTCAGACTAGGTCCAGGCCCAGGGATGCTAACCTCAGCTCTGGCCTCAGCCTGCCTGGAGGAAGGCCTTGCCGTTGACTTCACAGCTCTGGCAGTTGGATGACGACTGGGGTCAGCACCATTGCCCACTGGCAGCAGGAGGCAAAGGGCCTGGAGGTCCTGGATCCTGGACAAACAGCCACAGCCCAGGCCCCAGCCCCTAGCCCAGCCTTCAACCCCCAACCCCAACCCCCAATCCCCAACCCCCAGCCCAGCCCCAGCACAGCCCCCAACCCCAGCCCCCAGCCCAGCTCAGCCCAGCTCCCAGCCCCCAGCTCAGCCCCCAACCTCCAACTGCCAACACCCAGCCCATCTCCCAGCCCAGCCCAGCCCCAAGCCCCCAGCTCAGCTCCCAACCCCCAACCCTCAACCCCCAGCCCCCAGCCCTCAACCCCCAGCCCAGCCCCAAACTCCCAGCCCAGCCCAGCCCCCAACCCCCAACCCCCAGCCCCCAACCCCCAATGCCCAGCCCTGCCCCCATCCCCCAACCTCCAGCCCAGCCCAGTCCCCAGCCCCTACCCCAAATCCCCTAACCCAGCTCAGCCCAGCCACAGCCCAGCCCCACAAGTGGCCCCCTCCAAGGCCTGTGCAATCTCCCAGCAGACAAACCTAATGGAGGGCCAGGAGGGGATGGTTCAGGGGCTCAGAGGGTGTCCTGTTGCCAAGGCAGCACCCTGCATTTCACAGCCTGGTGATGCAGGTGAGACCTTGCATATAGATGCACCCCAGCAGGTCAGGACTTGTAGAAGGCTTCCCTCAGCAGCTGCTAATTGGTGGCCACCTCCACAGCCTCTCATGCCCTCAGCCCCACAGCTGCTCCCACCCTGCCCACTGCACCACTGCCTCCTTGCCCACTCACCCACTCACTCACTCGCCTACTCCTCCACTGTGTGGGTCAGGGGCCTGCATTGCTTACCCTCTCTGGGCTCATGTGTTCTGGGCAGCCTGGCTGAGCTGGACAAGAGGGAGGGAACCACCCGTGGGTCCCCAGACCTGCTTCTCTGCTGGGACACAGGCAAGGAGGCTGCTCCCCTCCCTTCTCTCTGTGACCAGAAACATCCAGCTCAGAGAGACTGTCAGATCTCAAGACCTCACAGGGGTCTGGGCTTGAGTGGGTGGAGGGTGGAGGGCACAGGACCACAGAGGAACATTCCCATCCTGCGTGCCAGGGTAGTGGGGGTACCTGGTGCTCCAGGCAGGTATGAAGGCCACACAAGCTAGGGCAGGCCTTGGAAGTTTCTCCCCACTGGAAATGGGGCTTCCTCCTGGGGCAACCCTGGTCCCTTTCCTACAAGGAGGCAGGTTGAAATCCCCTCTGCCCAGACCCAGCCTATTTCTGGCTCAAAGACCCCTTGAACTCGTCCCCAGGGCCACCCCACCATCCCCACGCCTAATGCCCTTGAAGTGAGGTTCTCCCAAGCGCCAAGTGGTTTATTACTTGGATTTTCATGCCCAGCTGCCTCTTGGTGCCTGCCTCCCTCCCTCCTCCCCTCCCTCCTGCCACCTCCTGCCTCCCAACCTCCTCGTGCCTCTGAGCACCACCTATCTCTCCAGCCTGCCTCAGCAACCCCTGCTTGCCTGTTGCCAGGGAAACTGCGTTTTTGGCAACCAGCCGGCATCCACATGACATGTACACTCAGGAAGGAAAGGCTTCTGTTCTTGCTTAGGCTGTTGGTGGGCTCTGCCGTGAAGCCCAACAGGTTCTGAGGGAGGGTCTGTCTGGTCTGTGATCCCAGAAAGGGGAGGTGGGCAGGCATCATGCATCTCTTGACACCATTCAACAGCAGCTTATAAAGCACCTACTACTTGCCTGCCTATGTGTGGGGCCCTCTGCGCACAGTATCTCATTTAATCATGCATTGAACCCGCAAAATAGATGTGATTATTCCCATTTTATAGGTGTGGAAACTGAGGCATGGAGAGGTTAAGGGGTTGCCTTTGGCCGGCAGAAGTCAGAGCTGAGATTTGAAACTACTCTTGTCTGATTTTAAAGCCCCAGTTCTTTTTTGAGACAAAGTCTCGCTGTCGCCAGGCTGGACTGCAGTGGTGTGATCTTGGCTCACTGCAACCTCCGCCTCCCAGGTTCAAGTGGTTCTGCTGCCTTAGCCTCCTGAGTAGCTGAGACTACAGGTGGGCACCACCACGCCCAGCTAAGTTTTGTATTTTTAATAGAGATGGGGTTTAACCATGTTGGCCAGTATGGTCTCAATCTCCTGACCTTGTGATCTGCCCGCCTTGGCCTCCCAAAGTGCTGGGATTACAGGTGTGAGCCCCGTGCCCCGCCAAAAGCCCCAGTTCTTTCTACCACCTTAAGGTCAGGCCTCTCTTAGCTGGGCCAAGAGTGAGTGGGTCCTAGGACACCTGAGTGATGAGGAAGCCCCTCATGATAACTTGTTGGGTGCTAAGCACAGCTGTGGGATCAGGAACCCAGAGACAAACTAGGCATGGTCCCTGCCCTCAAGGGGCTCCTAGTCTGGTGAGATGCTGGTGGGAGCAGGATTCTGACATGATCCAGTACAGGAGCCATGAGGCCCGGGGCAGGGCCTCCAACTGCAGCTGAGCTCGACACTCACTCGGGTTTCCTGGGAGGAGGCTTGGGCTGTGGAGAGCCCGTGGTCAGAGAGTGGATGGCAGGAGCTTAAGAGCTCCAGGGAGGTGCATATGGATTATGGCTACAGCCCAGGGGGCCTAGGAGGAGTGGCTGAGGGGAATGAAAGGAAAGTGACAGGACTCTGGAGTCCCCCAACAGGGTACCGGCCCAATGGCCAGGTAGTGTGCCCAGTGGGTGCCTGGTTATCCTTGAGTACAGGCTGGGGGCGGGAGATGTAGAAGGTGTGGGTGGGTGGGAGGACCCTCACAGGAGCCTGGGCTTTGAGCAGGGGTGGGAAGGCAGAGTTCAGGGAGGCATCCTATTGGAGCAGTGGCCACAGGTGTCATTGCAGGGGCCTGCTGGCTGCCAGGCCTTTGAGAGCCTAGAGACAGGCAGGGACAGCAGGAGACCTGGCCCTTCCTCTGGCCAGCCAGGTGGAAGCCTGGATAAAACCTGCCAGGTGGAGCACAAGGCTTAACTGGAGTCCTGAAGCAGGCTTAGGGAGGTGGCAGAGAACAGAGAGGGGTCAGCCCTACACAGGTAGGGAAGGGGTGAGGTGACTCTGGGAACCTGAGTGGCAGGTGCAAAGGTGTGGCCGGGCTCCACCCTCCCCTGGGCTCCCATGGCGGAGTGTGTAACAGGCAGGGAGGCCAGCTGCTGGGTCCGGGGACTGTCCTTCTGCACACACCTGCCCCTGATCTTGGCACCCTGTCTCTTGCAGGCTCTGCAGTGCCACAAGATGGAGGTCTATGCCTGCATTGAGAGTGAGACTGGCAGCCCACCCACCACCACACACGGCCCCCACTCCAAGGTACACAGGCTTGGGGCTGCAAGCCTGGCTTCTCACTGCATCTGACCCTCCCATCATGGGTGAAGTGGGGGGCAAATGGGACATGGAAATGAGCCATCTGCTGTGGAATCCCAGCCCTCTCCTGGTGGCAGCTGGCCTGCTGGTTAGGACTGGAGCGTTTGAGTTCTTGCTCTGTCCCTTAGCCACTGTGCAGCCCAGGGTGAGGCTACTAACTTCTCTGTGTCTGAATCTCCCTGTGTGCCAACTGAGCCACCTAACTGTACTCACCTCGGAGATTTTCAGTGAGGGTAAAAGATTATGCTGAGGGAGCTGCCTGGGACCCACTGTGCCCACGCACTGTGAGCCAGTGTAACCACCACGGGCACAGTGTCCACACTGGCCACACTGGCCAAGCACAGGGTGTGTAAGGCTTCCAGCTGCCCCCAGGCCTGTGTTGGCTCAAGTCTGGTGCTAGAGTGTGAGCTGTTAGAAGCGGGGGCTTCGGGTCAGGGCTCTGCGATGGTCATGACAGAGCCTCAGGCATATTACGCAACCATACCTTCTCTCAAACCTGCTTGCTCATCTGTAAAGTGGGTGAGCAATGCTTTCCTGCAAACCAGCTGCTCCTGAGTTCAGATGTGTTCTAAGTTGAGTGACATCTGTGCCAGAGCTGTCAGCACTGTGAATTGTGAGGTGTCATTCAGCCAGAGCAGCAGCTCCTGGGCATCTTGGAGCACCCGTCAGGGAGGGCGGGAGGCTGGCACTTGGCCTTCTGCCTCAGGCCGGCACTATTTGTTAAATTGCCTATTCGCGTAGCCCTTTCTATACTCAGCCCTCAACTGACCCCGAGTGAAAGCAGGGTTTCCCCCAGCCTGGAACCCCGAGGTATGTCAGGGCTGTCTCAGGCAGTGCCCACCCTGTGCCAGACTCTGGGGTGCTGGTCAGGAGAACTAGGCATGTCCCTGGCCTCTGGGAACGACAGTGTGTAGAAACAGGTCACTGACCCCATGGACACACAGCGGTATTTGTAGCTCTCTTATGAGGGGCAGTCTTCCGGGGGAGAGACCAGCAAGTGTGGGGAGGGGGTAGGGGTCCTAGGACCCTACCATGAGCCAGTAACCAGATGAATAGGAGGCAGTCAGAACAGGTAAGTCTATGGGAGGAGGTGTATCCCAGACAGAGGGCAGAAGGCAGAAGGCAGAGCTGTGGGGAAGCTCTGAGGCTAGAAGGGGAGGCCCATGTGGCTGGAGGGCAGAAAGCAGTAGTGAGGTAGTGTGGTGGGGGAAGAGGCTGGGAGGTGGCCTTGGAGACAGAGAGCAGGCCCTCCATCCAAGCTACACAGGAAGTGATAGAGTTACTTATGTCAAGGGACAGATCAACCACACCAAACGTAGGGGGTACTTCTTGGGACTATTTAGTGTGCTATAACCAGACAGTTGGCAGAGAGAAAAAAGAAAGAGCCCCTTGGCCGGGCGGGGTGGCTCACGCAATGCCTGTAATCTCAGCACTTTGGGAGGCCGAGGTGGGCGGATCACCAGGTGGGGAGATCAGGACCATCCTGGCTAACGTGGTGAAACCCCATCTCTAAAATAAAAAAACAACTTTTCCGGGCACGGTGGCTCACGCCTGTAATCCCAGCACTTTGGGAGGCCGAGGCAGGTGGATCACGAGGTCAAGAGATCAAGGCCATCCTGGTCAACAAGGTGAAACCCCGTCTCTACTAAAAATACAAAAATTAGCTGGGCATGGTGGCGTGCCTGTAGTCCCAGCTACTCAGGAGGCTGAAGCAGGAGAATTGCTTGAACCCAGAAGGCGGAGGTTACAGTGAGCCGATATTGGGCCATTGCACTCCAGCCTGGGGTAAGAAGAGCGAAACTCCATCTCAAAAAATAAAAAATAAAAAGAGATCCAGACCATCCTGGTCAACATGGTGAAACCCTGAGTCTACTAAAAATACAAAAACTTAGCTGGGCATGGTGGCACACGCATGTAGTCCCAGCTACTCAAAAGGCTGAGGCAGGAGAATTGCCTAAACCCAGAAGGTGGAGGTTTCAGTTAGCCAAGATCACGACCATTGCACTCCAACCTGGGTAACAAGAGCGAAACTCCATCTCCAAAAAAAAAAACAAAAAACAAAAAAAGGAGCACTCCAGCCTGGGTAAGAAGAGCGAAACTCCATCTCAAAAAATAAAAAATAAAAAGAGATCCAGACCATCCTGGTCAACATGGTGAAACCCTGAGTCTACTAAAAATACAAAAACTTAGCTGGGCATGGTGGCACACGCATGTAGTCCCCAGCTACTCAAAAGGCTGAGGCAGGAGAATTGCCTAAACCCAGAAGGTGGAGGTTTCAGTTAGCCAAGATCACGACATTGCACTCCAACCCTGGTAACAAGAGCGAAACTCCATCTCCAAAAAAAAAAAACAAAAAACAAAAAAAGGAGCCGGGCATGGCTGTGTACATTTGTGGTCCCAGCTACTCAGGGAGGCTGAGGCAGGAGGCTCACTTATACCTGGGAGGTCAAGGCTGCAGTGAGTTGTGATCATGTCATTGCACTCCCT